GATAGTTCTGGGAGACTTAGAATGACATCTATCCAGTGATTTGCTTTGGCTAGGGAGATAAGTGTCATATCAAGGTGTTGCAAATGAGAAAGATTAGACAACCAATCCAGGGTTTGAATCGTAGATAATCTTTCATAGTTTCCAAGTGAAAGATTTCGCAAGTTTGTGAGGTTTCCAAATTCAGTTGGAATGGTTCCATTGAAAGAATTGTAACGAAGGTTAAGATACCTTAATTGGGTCGAGGAACCAATGGACTTGGGAATGGTTCCATAGAAAGAATTTTTAGAAAGGTCAAGATACCTTAATTGAGTCAAGGAACCAATGGACCTGGGAATGGTTCCATATAAAACATTGACGGAAAGGTCAAGATACCTTAATTGAGTCATGGAAGCAATGAAGTTTGGAATGGTTCCATGGAAAAAATTTCTGGAAAGGTCAAGATGATTCAAGTAGGTTAAGTTAAGCAATGAAGGGCTAATCTCACCTTCAAAATAATAATAATAATAGGACCGAAGGTCAAGCTCTGTTACATGACCTGTATGATTGTTGCAGGTGATTCCAAACCATTTACAACAATCATCTTCTGCAGGTCTCCACGTAGAGAGTTGGCCATTAGGGTCTTTAAGGGAAGCTTTGAAATGAAGGAGGGCTTGTTTCTCCTTGTGGAAGCATGACTTGTTGATGCCACCATAATTACCATCTGTTGCTGCTGCTGCTGATTGGTTTCCAATAGAAGAACAAGTGGCAAGAATTGTAGTGTTTGGGCATAGCAAGAGCATACTAATAAGAACAAAGTAAAACCAAATCATAGCTTAATCTATGAAAATTGATATATATGTATTTGGTGATTTGATTTATTAAGGAAGTGGTTGTTTGGATGCATCCATGAAGCAATGAAGGTTTATTTATAGAATAGTTTCAAGTGTGAAGGTTTGTATGCTACTTGAGTTACAGGTAGTAGATTTCCAAGACTAAGACTTGGATGCAGGTCTTAATCAATTTGTAATTATTATTTGGGTTATATAGTCCAAACAAATTAGATGCCCAAGGTTAGAACCAATCCCTTAAATTTGACCTAGAACTTTGTCTTTCTCATCTGAAATTCGAACAACCACCATGAAAAATCTAAGGAACTTTGATTAATATGTTTCGGATGGATCAATTTTAAATGCTAACCTGCTTAGCACCATCTTGTTTCTACCCTAAATGAAACCTATCCACATTCACCGTTATTAAGTGATGGAATAAGCTTCAAATATCCAAGTATTACTTGTTAATCCAACACCCATTAATACACAAAGGATTTAGGTCCAACTAATTATGAATGATTTTATATTTTGGCCTCCTTTAACCGTTCAACTTCCTAATTTTATTCTGAACAATTACCAAACAATCATATTTCATTTTGGATAATATCATAAGAGTACGTTAATTATTCTGACCACTTATATGTTGAGACTTTTAGCTCTTTCTCCTATTTTCTCCGATTTGGAGTATGATTTTGGGGAATTTATTGAGCCATTTTTTATGAAAAGGTAATTTAAAATCTTTATCTTTTTCATTTCAAATATTCTTTTAGAGATACTTATTGGGTAAGACTCTTGGTCCTTGTCTCGCTCTTATCGGGTAAGATTTTTGGTCTTTACCATATTCATCCGGTGAGGTAGTGTGACTTGGTAAGAACTTACCCGGATAAATGTTTGGTAAACGGCCCCTTTAGTCCTAACTAATTAACATAAGCAATGTCTAAACACTTTATTTTGTGCAACTCACATGAAAATCATGAATGTAATTTAGTTTTTTGTTGATTTGGTTTTTACAGTTATATAGATGTAAATTTTGGAGTTTATGGACCAACCATATCCAACTGGATGCATACATATTAAAACAAGAGTGAATAACACTGAAGGTACCTTTTGATTTTCATTACACTCAAAATTTGAGCAAATCACATTACCTTAGGGTCTATTTGTTTTTTAAAAATTACCTCTTAATACCTCTAAAGTGTGATTCGTTCAGACATTTGGGTATCAAGAGCGTTTGTTTTATTTTTAAAATAAGAGCTTACAAGCTCTAAATGTCATATGAAATTTTAAGTGGTAAATATACCTCTTAATGCCTCTTATCCTAATTCACCTTCTATCATATAGTTCATATTTTGAGGGCTGGAAGAGATTTGTTAGCAAAAACTATTCATCTTTTATATACTTTTTATAATAATTTTTTTTTTATTTCATTGTACTAGTTTGTCATATTAAGATTTCATACTTCAGACGTAAAACCAAACAATCTTACTGATCCAGATTTTAGAATTCAGAACCACCTCTTATAAATCAGAAGTAAAATCAGACTTCAGTACCTCTTAAAAAATAAACGTCCCCTTAATGTAATTCACTTGAAACAATGTCACTAATCTTCATAACAACTTAGGAATTTGTCAAAGAGATACAAGACAAAGTTTGGAGAATTGAATAATTAAAGTGCCACAAGACTAAGTCTTTAAAATTTGTATTTAGTGTATGTTTTCTTTTTCCACATTGTTGATAGCTTTTTGTTTTAAAATAAAGTAAGAATAAATCTAGAAACATTAATAGATTCGAATAAAGCAAAACGGCTTATGAGACTACATTGAAGTAGAAATGGTCAAATGGGCCCAGCCCGGACAGAGATCAGCGGAGGATAAGAACCGGCCCGATTTTCCAAAAATATTATTGTTTTATTGTCGATACCCAATGGCCATTTGATCATTTCCCCCCCCCCCTATTTTTGACCCTTTTTTTTTTTTTTTTTTTTTTTTCTGATTTACCCTCTATTCACTATATATAAGTAATATAGTGTACAAGGAAAGATATCAACTCACAACGGTTCACAATTCTTGTTTATGATTCGTGATTTTGGCTCGTATTCTTGCAAAAAAAACGTATTCTTCAAGTGTATTTAATTGAACTAATTACATATTTTCAAGTCTATTAGAATAACACTTTTGTATTCTTAAAAAAACTTCAAAAAATAAAATTATGTAAAAAACGATTTTTTTAACCGGTTACAAAATACCTTAAACGGGCCTTGGGTTTTTGGTTGGGACCGGGACCTGGACTGAAGCAGAGATCAATTACGCCAGGACTGGTTATGGGAATAGTGTTTGGGACCAATACGGATTTGAGCCCGGCTCGGGTTCGAATCTCTACATAGAAGTGACACACTATAAGGACAAACTATGAAAGACATATAACTTTGAATTGGACCAAAACCTTCTATGACTTTTTCAAAATCATGAACGTTACAAATACACTTAATAATAAAAATAAAAAAAAAACAACTCTTATATCGTTATTACTAGGTAATTTTATGTTAAACATGATGAATGTTCCAATTGCCACATGGGTATAAATAGTTATAGCTAAGAGTTCAATTTATCTTACGTGAATATCAAATTGTGAAAGTATTTGAACCAAATGAAACTGAATTGATCAATTTCGGTTCAATTCATGGCTTACATCTTTTTAAATGGTCCAAAATGAAAAGAATCGTAACAACTAGATGATATATGATTACGGGTGTTAAAAAAACGGGGAAACTGAGAAATCGAGCCGTATCGTTTAATCTGAAACCAAAAAACCGATAACCGAAAAATTCAATATTAAAAAAACAAAAGAAAAACAGAGGTATTCATTGGTCGGTTTCGGTTTTGAACTTTAGGTACTTATTTGTTGTGTAATTGTTTTAAATGTTATATTTTGGAATCTTTTTTATATTGTAAATAATATTTTTTATAAATTCGGATAACCGTGAACCGGATCGAGGATAACCGTCTTATTTTGGTTCAGTGCAGTTTAGTTCAACCTACAGTTAGATTTTGGTTCAGATAATCAGGTATCCATCTCTTGTGGTTCGGTTCATATTTTTCTTACTAACCGAACTGAACTGATCCATGTGTGGCCACACTGGGCCTGGACTTGTATAAAATCGATATGGGCCTGGGCTATGGGCTCTCCTCAACTGAAGTCCCAAACTCAAACGTCCATTCTTTCATCTCTACAGTATTCACGACTCCGACTCCGACTCCGACTTCGACATTGGCAGTTCGGACGACATCGATTCATCAGGCACCAGCGACAAACTCCAGCCTCAGTTCGCACGACTTCGAATTCGCAACTCCGTAACTCGACCTCGACTCTCTCAATCACGGTGATTACACCAGGTTAGTTGACTATCGATTTCAACTTCCAGCCCTAACTTCTACATAAAGGGTTTGGTATTTTGAAATGTCATTAATCATTCTGGGAAGATTAGAGAAAGTGACTCTGACTTCACCACTCTTTTTCAATGGATATTCCGCATTTTTATGTTCTCAACTGGTATGTAATGGGGTGAGAATCGAAAATATGAAGAAACCCTTCATTCAAGCAATTCTGGTCACTTGTTACTCATTCAAGCAATTCTGGTTGGTTATTACCAATTGAGATTTGAGATCCAAGCCAAGAAAACCCTAAATTTTATTGTTACCGATTGAGATTTGGGCATCTGGCCAAACTTATCTTTGCTTAAGTGGTAGTTAGGTGCTGAAGTCCTTTGTAGCTTTGTTTATGATGTGTACTTCTCTGCATAATATTTGAACTCTTCATCTCCATAGTGTAAAAAGTATTAGGTTGTGTGAAGAAATCATTCCCCTTGTAAACAGTACAGTTTTAAAATGAGATTTCTTTTRTTGTATACCGAAAGCAGAAAGTCAGTATAAAACCACATCGACTCTCCATAACTGCTGATCAAATTCACGTAATCGCAACTCATATTAACAATGGCTAGATAATTAACGATAAGCTTAGATCCATTACAACTGCTGAATATGGAGTTTGTTATCTTTAGCTAAACATATCTCCATACTGCTGAATGGTATTTGACCTGCTTCTTAGATTGTCTGGAGGGTTCTCATACATCCATGTAGTGTGTAGCGTTCTATCATGGTTTTTCTTGTTTATATGCTTATCTATTTACACCTCTAGACATATTTTTTTTGTTTGTTTGTATAAATATAGACATGAATATGTATGTTGTTTCGCCCACACTTGCATTCCAACTTTTTTTAATAGCTATTCTCTACCGATAAGTATTTGACAGAGAACATATATTTTTAAAAGCTGTTGCCAACCTCGAAATCATGATATGTTGTTTTTAGGCTCACTCACCCCTGTTGTTATTTCATGCTATTAATTCGCAAAATAATTGTTAATAAACATATCAAACAAATCTACAAATGAATATTGAAATATAAAGCGTTCTATCTTTTGTGATATGATGGAATCCGCCGGAATCTGATGGAATTGGAATGGTCAATTCTGTTGACCAAATTCCATTCCAGCGTTTGGTTACCTAGGGAATGGAATTGAATTCCAAGGATTCCCTCATTTGAAGGATTTACCCGTTCCTTCATGAAAGTGATGGAATTAAAATCCATTCCATCCAAAATTATGTAAATGACAAAAATACACTCATAAGACTTTTATGTAAACCCTAGCCGCTCCATTCTCATCTACTGCTTCTACCCATCGCTCCTAACAAAGAACGCTGCTTTCATCTTCTCGATCAAACACTGTTTCATCTTCTCGATCAAACACTGTTTCATCTTCGATCGAACACCGCAGGTCGAATCTTCTCGAATGTTACTGCTTTCATCTTCGAGTGGACTGCTACTGTTTTCAATCTGCTTCAATTTCTGATTTAATGTTTACTGCTTTCATCTTCTGATTTAATGTGACTGCTTTCATTTTCTTCATCTTCTGATTTAATTTCGATTTCTGATTTAATGTTACTGTCTGTTTGATGAATTGTCCATGGTTAAGGAAATTCTGAAATTTCTTATATAGCTGCTTTCGGTTAGTAACATTTTCCACAACAACTTGATCTCAGACATAAAAATGACCATTTTGAGCTTACAAGATATACTGCTGTTTGGCTGTAGGTCATGTATTTGCCCACTTCGCTTTTCAAGTCATCAACCTTCCTGCAAACATAGAATRTATTTGAAGCTTAACCACAAGTCACAAATCATGGTGTCTAATGCAAATAACAGAACCTGAAAATGCAAATAAAAATTCTGAATCRACGGAACCTGAATGAAAATGCAAATCACAAAGAACAAGGTTCTTGTTTTGGTATTTTGGAGTGTGAACCAAAAGATGTTTTATGTAGA